CCTGTCCAAGGACCCATACTCTATAAACTTAAGGCTCCATTTTTGCACATAGTAAGAAATTACATTCGTCTAGGGATGTGACAGCCTTGGGGTTTTCTCTTAAGATCTGTGACCTCTCCAGCTATGTGTATTTGGCTAGGTTTACAGTACCACACCTGAGTTTCCTCCCATTGAGTGGGTTTTAAGTTCAATTAGGTAGCTGTTGATTACCCCCAAGATAAAAATGCCACTGCTGCACCAATGTCATTTCCTGTGCATTGATGTGGTTTTTAGGCCTTGTAGCATTGAATGATCTTCTTCCTTACCAGCTTTCATAGTGCTCTCCAAAGCTGTGAGAGCTAGCCTTCAGGGAAGGTGGCTTTCAGGTCAGTTCTGGCTCCATTGCTCCAAAGCCTGTGTCCGAAGTCTGTCTGTCTTCAGCAGTAGGGTCTTAACTTCAAGTTCTGGGAGGCAATCAAGGACTATGGCAATAGCCTGTGTAATTTTGGGAGTCTCTTGGACTACCCTGGCCAATAACTCAAGAGGAAGGTTTCTCCTTTCTGGCACTATTTCTTGTTATGTAGCCTTCAGGTATACACATGGACTCATGTAGAGATATTGTATGTGTAATTTTTCTTTAAATCAGAGTTCCTGTTGCTTCCATGCTCACCAGCATCTGTGCTTTCAATACCATTCTAAGAAATGTGAAGTGGTGGTCAGGGCATGGTGGCACACACCTTTAATCCCAGCACTCAGGAGGCAGAGGCAGGTGGATCTCTGTGAGTTCAAGGCCAGCCTGGTCTACATCTACATAGTGAGTTCCAGGACAGCTGGCTCAAAAACCAATAAAAGAAAGAGAGGAAAGGAGGAAGGGAGGGAGGAAGGGAAGGAGGTGAAGTGGTATTTCATTATTTAGTTTAATTTACAACTCCCTGGGTGGGGGATATAGCTTAGCGGTAACACATTTGCCTTGTCTGATTCAAGGCCCTGGGTTCATTCCCCAGCTCTGAAAACACAGAAACACACATGTGCACACACACACACTTCTCTGGTGATACAATGTGGAATATCTTTTCACATTTTTTTTTCCCATATGTATGCCTTCTTTGGAAGTTTGCCTGGTGGCCATTTATTCCTTATAATCTAGTTAACTGGTTACTTATATTGTTGAGTTTTGAGTTCTATGTCTTGTGTAACAGTCTTTGTCAGGTGGGCTTTTTACATATATTTTCCCCTAGTCTGTGGTTTCTCTTCTTGCTCTAGGTTTGGGAGTGTCTTCTATAGAGCAGAAGGTTCATATTTCAGTGAAGTTCCGCTTACGAATTATTTCTTTGATAGATTGTGACTTTGGGATTGACAGTTTATGTATTGATAAAGCCTGTGTTTTCAACTGTAGATCAGTGTGGGAAATATTGACATCTTAGCAGTATTGTCTTTTAGTTCATGAGCATGCATGTCTTATCTTTTTGTTGTTGTTGGTTTTTTTGAGACAGGGTCTCCCTGTAGCTCCAGCTGCCTGGAACTCACTCTGTAGACCAGGCTGGCCTTGAACTCAGGGATCTGCCTACCTCTGCCTCCCGAGTGCTGGGATTAAAGGTGTACACCACCACGCCCAGCTTATCTTTTATTTAGATTTTCTTGCATCACTTTCAACAGTATTTGTAGCTTTTTAGTATACTAATCATGCATTTTTTTTCCTTAAATTTATTCAAAAGCAAGCCTGGAGAGATGGCTCAGCAGTTAAGAACACTGGTTGTTCTTGCAGAAGACCCAAGTTTGAATCCCAGCACCCACATGGCAGCTAACAACTGTCTGTAACTCCAGTTCCAGGGGATCCGACAGCCTCTTCTGTCCTCCAAGGGCATTGCACAACACGGGTGCACTTACCTACAAGCAGGCAATACACTCATACACATTAAAAAAGAAATTATTCAAAAGCATTTTATTCTTTTGGATGCTATTATCAACCAAATTATTTTCTTAATTTCATTTTTGGATTGTTCCTTGCTTATAAATATTGTGATAGATATTTCCTGTTTTACCTTATTCTATTTATGGGAAATTTCTTTGGTATTATCTTGAAACTCTATTTATTTAGACAGTTTGGCTGTATGGTTCAGGCTGGACTGTAACACAGTTGTGCCACCTCAGCCTCTGAGGTGCTGGGGTTACAGGCTTGTGCCACCTTACACTATTTTTATTGAATTTTTAAATCTTAGTAATAAATTTTTCACATTTCAAGAGCTCTTATTGTTAATTTGTTATGGTAACACTATTTACTTGTTTTTGCATATTATTTTCTTAGACATCTCTGAGGATACTGTAAGTTTTGTTGGTCATAGAATTGTTTGTCTTCTCTTTTCCAGGGAGTAACAACCTGGACCATTTCCTTCTTTCAAGACTTTTTATTGTTTTGTGTCTTTTGTGGTGCAGCTTTCTGCCAATGTGTATTTCTTATTTGTCCACTACAGTTAAGAACGAGGCTGTAAAAACCAGGTTGAGAGAGGTGTTTGGCTTTACTGAACTGGAGGATTTCTCTTCGGTAGTGGGGAAGCCCTGATACTGAAATGTGTTTTCTGCTTTGAGGCTGGTTAGATCCCTGAAGAGCACTTTTATTTATTTGCTTGTTTTGACTGACTGATTTTCTTGTGATTGAAGGTGGGTAGATGGTCACTTCTTGACTTTTCCTTTGAGGTGGGGGGGGGAATGGAAAATTGAATCGTTTTGTTTTTGTGTTACTGGGAACTGAACCCTGGGCCTTCCACATAGGTAGGCAAGCACTCTTTGCCACTGAGCTGTCTCCAGCTCTGTGTTTTTAAAAAATCGTTTATTTTTATTTTATGTTTATGGTGTTTATGTGAATGCACCTGTGTAATGCAGTGCCCACGGAAGCCAGAAGAAGGCATCAGGCATCAAATCCCCTGGAACTGGAATTATGGACAGCTATTAGCCACCATGTAGGTGCTGGGAACTGAACCTGGGTTCTCAGCCAGTGCTCCTAACTACTGAGCCCTCTTTCCAGCCCTGTTTTTTTACCGTTTATTTTGAGACAGAATCTTGCTAAGTTGTCCTCGCCCTGAGTTCAGGCTGGCTTTGAATTTATAATCCTTCCGGAAGCCTTAGCCTCCAAAGTAGCTAGGATTATAACCACCAGACATTTAAACCTTAATGACCTCTTTTTAGCCTCATTCTCTTTGGTTATTTGTATTTTACATGCCAGTAGTTGTTAACTGATATACTAGTTACTTTTCTCATTGGGGTGACAAGACCCTGACAAGAACAACCTGAGAAAGAAGGACTATTTTATTCAATTTAAGGTAGTCTGTGGAGCCGGGCATGGTGGCGCACGCCTGTAGTCCCAGCACTTGGGAGGCAGAGGCAGGCAGATCTCTGTGAGTTCAAGGCCAGCCTGGTCTACATAGTGAGTTCCAGGACAGCCGGGGCTCCAGGGAGACCCTGTCTCAAAAAGACAACAACAACAACAACAAAAAGGTAGTCTGTCATGGCAGGAAGTGGTGGTGGCTGGAGCTGGAGGCAGCTGGTCACACAGCACTCTTAGTCAAGATGCAGAGAGATGAGTGTTGGTGCTTAGCTTTCTTTCTCTTTTTTTTCTTTTAAAGTCCAGGACATCAACCCATGGAATAGTGCCACACACATTTGTGGGTCTTCCCACCTCAATTAAGCTAGTCTAGAAACTCAAAAACATACCCAGAGGTTTGTCTGGTGATTCTAGAGCTTGTCAAGAAGCTGACAACATTAACTATCACAAATGGGGTCCTTGGACCTGTCAAAATCTGGACATCCTGGAGCATATATTCAAACTGTATGTACAGTTTTTTGGAGTAAAGGCTCTTCACTTTCAAGATGATCTTGAAGTATTTGATTGCCTTGAAAAGGTTAAAAATTGCTGCAGATTTCTTTTCTTTGCAGCATCCTAAGGTCTCATTAAAGAACCCATTTTCATGTTCAGCAGAGCACAAGGCATGCTGCTCTTTTAGGTGATGATAATGGTAATAACTTTCTCTTTAATTCACTAAGGAACACATACAGAAATGATTAACAGAAGGTGAGGTGGGAGGGATATGGCCTGGGGATGCATCCAAGTGGCAGAGAGTTTATATACTGTGTGCAAAGCTCTTGAGTTCAGTCTCCAGCACTCAGGGAAAAAAAAAAAAGCAGTGCTATAGAAGTTAAAAAGAAGATATTACTACAGTGAGACTCTAAAAGAGGAGGAGGGGGGGGAGGAGGAGGAGGAGGAGGAGGAGGAGGATTTTCCTTAGAGAATTTAGAATTTTTTTGTTGGTTTGGTTTAGTTTGAACAACATCTGCAGTACTGAAATGACATACTGTGAGGATGTTAGAACGTTTACTTATGTTTAGCCTTCAGCATTCATGAAATGACTAAATATAAAAAATTTTCCCTGGAAACTCAGTCATGTAAATATTTTTACCAGCACGGTTGCAAAGCAATGCAGTCATCCCTGCCACTCCTACAAGTTGCTGTGCATAAGGGTGGTTCCTATACAAATATTTATTTTGTGCTCTGACTAGGAAGAAAGCTCGCTTTAAACATCAAAATGCAAATGGTTGTCTTGGTAGACATCCTTGCTGGAATGAGTGGTTTAGATGTCCCATTTCAAGGGGAAAAATGGTAATATGGAATTTGGTCTGAACTAGATCTTTACTATTTTGCTGTTTTCAGAAAAAGAACTTTTAGGGTTGGTGAGATGGCTCAGCAGGTAAAAGTACCTGACGCCAAGCCCGATGACCTGAATTCAATCCTTGGGACCCACATGGTGGAGGGAGAGGACTAACTCCTGCTGGTTGTCTTCTCATCTCCACATACCTACCATTGTGAGCCACTTGACCTGGTTCTGAGAACCCAACTGCTGTCCTCTGCCAAAGCAGCAATCATTATATGTGAATCATTATGTATGAAAGTGGTATGAATTTTCCTTTTGCTTAGAGAGTTTGAAAAATACAGTTATTTGGAATTTTGACTTTAGATGTATTCTTTTCAGGAGCTCTGCCAGTGCCGGCCTGGAGAAGGAAACTGCTCCTGCTGTAAGGAGTGCATGCTGTGTCTTGGGGCCCTTTGGGATGAGTGCTGTGATTGTGTTGGTAAGTTGACATGCAGTGGAGTTTCTTGATGTCCTTTTTTGATCCCAGAATCCTTGACTTTAAATAATGTAAATGTACCATATATATTTAAACACTTGTTGAATAAGATATAATAAACTTAGAGAAAATTGTATTATATTGCTTGTATTGAATTATTTCAAAATTTATTATAGAAAAAAAGTCTGGAAGAAAGTTTAAATTACTTAGTCTTGGGATGTAAGAGTAAGGAATCAAAGGAAATTTTTTTGTTTTGAAATCTTTTTCTGTCATCTTTTTTTAGCAAGAAGCATCTCCTTTTGTGTTTTTCATGAGAAGCATTGTTTTCTAAGAAGCATCTGATAAATCTCCAATATATATTAAGTAAAATTGAAAAAAAAGACCAGGTGCACAAGTGTGAGTCAGTTAGTTAGTTGTTAGTTAGTTAGTTAGTTAGTTAGTTAGTTAGTTAGTTAGTTAGTTTTTTTGAAGCAGGGTTTCCCTGTATCCCTAGATGTCCTGGAACTCACTATGTAGACCAGGCTGGCCTTGAACTCACAGAGATCCTCCTGCCTCTGCCTCCCAAGTGCTGGGACTACAGGCATGTGCCACCATGCCCGGCTTATTATTTTTTATTTTATGTGTATGCATGTACTGCCTACATGTATGGAAGTGCACCCGTGTTGTGCAATGCCCGTGGAGGACAGAAGAGGGCATCGGATCCCCTAGAACTGGAGTTACGGACAGTTGTTAGCTGTCATGTGGGTGCTGGGATCTGAACCTGGGTCTTCTGCAAGAACATTCAGTGTTCTTAACCGCTGAGACATCTCTCCAGCCCAAGTATGTTTTAAGAATACTATCACTTACATCTTTGTTTTGTTTTGGTTTTTGGTTTTTGAGACAGGGCTTTCCTATAGCCCCAGCTGACCTGGAACTTGATATGTAGACCAGGCTGTCTCACAGAACTCTACCTGCCTGCCTCCTGAGCACTAGGATTAAAGGTGCGTGCTACCGTGCCGTGCCCATCTATTTGTATCTTAGAAAGCTTATTCACAGAACTAAGTGTGGTGGTGCACACTTATAATCCTGGCATTTTAGGAGCCTGAGACAGAAGGATTGTAAGTTCAAAGCCAGCTTTTGTCCAGTTTTAGTCTCGGACCAAAAAGCAGGACCCAGTCTCAAAAATCCACAAGCTTAAGTACATAGATTGTTGCTTGAAGAAACACCCATCATTGCTTCTCTGACCCTTTTTACCTTTTAAGTCCTCACTGCAAGGATCCCCCTTCCTCAGAACCCTTCTTCATGTGCCTGAGATAGAAGCCCTGTGCTTCTTCTGCAAGATCACTTATTGCATGTTCTTGTGTTATATCATTTGCATGTTTCCTCAAGGAAATTAACATATAGGTCTTTACTCTTTACATTAATTTAGCAAAGTGAGGTAGATATACTGATGCTTTAGGAGCCATGTACAATGTTCTTGACATTTCTTTGAACCTGTGCTCCCAGGTCACCACCTGCAACTCTTTATATTACATCCACAGTTATAAATATTATTGTTTATTTTTTATTTTATGTGGATTAGTGTACTGCCTTCATGTGTGTAAATGCACCCATGTCATGTAATGCCTGTAGAGGTCAGAAGAGGGTGTCAGATGCCCAGGAATCAGAGTTACAGACAGTTGTTAGCTGCCCTGTGAGTGCTGGGAGTCAAATCCAGATCCTCTGCAAGAGCAGCCAGTGCTCTTAACCACTGAGCCATCTGCCCAGCCCTCAGTTTTGTTTTGTTTTTTAAGATAGTCTTGCTATGTAGCCCAGGCTAGCCTCAAATTTGAGGTCCTTTTGTTTCTGCTCTCCTGGAATTACAGGCATGGGCCAACAAGCCCTGGCTAAATAATACTCTTTTACTACTCTCTTGACTCTTTTTAAACTTCTTTTTTTTTTTAAGGTAAGGTCTTACTTTGTAGCCCTGGCTGGCCTAGAACTCACTATGTAGACCAGACTTGGCTTTGAACTTACAGAGATCCACCTGTCTCTGTGTCTTGAGTGCTAGGATTAAAGGGGTGCACCACCATACCAGCTGTTTTCAACATTTTAAATTACATTGCTTGATTGATTGATTGATTGATTGATTGATTGACACAGCCTATGTGTACAGGTCAAAAGACAACCTGCTGTTGATTCTCTCCTACTCTGCTGGTCCTGGGGATTGAACTCATGTCAGGCTTAGTGACAAGCACTTTTTACCCACTAAGCCATCTCACTGGCTTATCTTTTATTTTAGAAACTATAAAATTAATTATTTTAAAAAATATTTTATTATTTTTATTTTATGTGTATGAGTGTATTGCCTATATGTATGTGAGTGCACCTGTGTAATGCAGTGCTGCAAAGATCAGAAGAGGGCTTCAGATTCCCTTGGAACTAGAGTTAAGGATGGTTTGCAGCCACCATATGGGTGCTGGGAATCAAACCTGGGTCCTCTGCAAGAGCAGCCAGTGCTCTTAACTGCTGAGCCATCTCTCCAGCCCCTAAAATGAATTCTTAAAATGTAGATGAAGGTTTCATTTTCTTATCTCTTCTCCATGTGATTGTATTGCTGCTAGTAAATGCATATTTACTTTAATATTCCATTTGATAAGTCAATGTTACTGACAGGTTGGATTGTGTAATAATGCATTCACTTATTAAGTGAATTTCCCCTATTATCTGTCTTATCTGTCTTCTTGCCTTGGGAATACTTCCTGAGAGATCTCCTAACCCTTCAGACCTCTGCATTATTTGTGTGTTGGTGGGGGGCGACTGTTGATCAATCTCAGTAACAGTGCTAACACGTATTCCAGCACTGAGCTATATCCCCAGTTTCCTTTGTGTTAAAATTTTTTTCCTGTTAAAATTTTCTCTGACCTTTTAGGGATGGCGTAGTGTTTTTGCTTTATAAGTATGGTATTTTTCAGAAGAGGGGAATGCAGTCCATGTGAGAAGAAAGCAGAAGGGGGGAATGAAAGGGAAGGAAGGAGCCAGTAAGAAGAGGGCAGGGGGAATGGGTCACTGGGGAGTGCAGGGAGGTTGGGGAATGACTGAGAACCAAGTATAATGACAAGCATATGAAGAAGACATAATGGGCCAGGTGTGGTGGTGCACGCCTTTAATCCCAGCACCTTGGAGGCAGAGGCAGGTGGATCTCCATAAGTTCGAGGCCAGCTTGGTCTCCATAGTTAATACAGGCCAATTGCAGTTACAGGGAGACCCTGTCTCAAAAAGACCAAAAAAAGAATTAATTTATTATTTCTTTTTTATGTGTGTGAGTGTATTGCCTGAATGTAAGTGAGCGCACCTGTGTTGTGTAGTGCTGCGGAGGTCAGAAGAGGGCTTTGGATTCCTCTGGAACCGGAGTCAAGGACAGTTCGCAGGGCCTCGAGATGACTCAGTGGGTAAAGGTGTTTGCTGCCAAGCCTGGGAACTGAGTTAGTCCCTGGAACCTACATATTGGAAGGAGACAACTAGCTCCCACAAGTTCTCCTCTATCGCCACAGCTGCCATGGCATGCCCATGCCCCTCCTCCAATAAATAAATAAATGCTATAACATTTTTAAAAATAAGTATGGTATTTTTCTTCTCTTTTGGAACTGTTAACTAGACAGCGTTGTTGCTGTTGAGACTCTTCCTTCTCTGCTCCGTTTCTACTTTCTGGAGTGGCTGGCAGCCCTTGGCCATTTACTCCCGTGTTAGTGTTGGTACTCTGAAGCTGTTTGGGAGCTGTACTGTGGCTACTCAGAGATCTCTTTTCCTCACTAAAGATGATGGGAGACGAGGTGCCTTTCCACCACAGAGCTCTATTTCAGGTTGACAGATCTTGCATTTGGAGCTGTGCAGTGTTTTCACCGAAGGATCGTCTAGTTTCCTGCCTGTGGTGGGGGTGGAGATGAGGGTCACATGCCAGGCTGCACATGCTCTGGCACCTGGGTGGCCATGCCACATAATTTGCTGAGGATACTGTGGGTTGGTGGGTGTTTCCATTTTCATCTCCACCCTCTACAGTTTTTGGCATTTCCAATCCAGGGCCTCTTTGGTGCCCACAACCTCTGAGTCTCCCAGGGTCTTAAAGGTCTTCATAACTGGAATTAGCATTTCAGCTTCTGAAATTGTTTCCTTATTGTTTTGTAGTGACTTCCTAGAGAACTGAGGAAGACAGTGTTATTTCCTCTCTCTTGTGGTCTTCTAGGTACCTCTAATAGCTGATATAGTTAGTGCCTAGTCCAGAGAAGGCCCTTACATGTATCATGACCATTGAAATTTGTGTTCTAATTGCACTGAGGTGTCCAAGATAGAGTTTCGTCTTTTTTAAATTTTTAAAATTTACTTACTTTTATTTATATGTATGAATGTTTTGCCTGCATGGATTAAGTGCACCACAGGTGTGAAATGTACACAGAGACCAGAAGAGGGCATTGGATCCCCTGGAACTGCTGTTATGAACCATTGTTAGCCACCATGTAGGTGCTGGAAACCAAACCATTGTCTCTTGTAAGAGCAGCCGGTATTGCTAAGCTATCTCTGTAGCCCCTGGACAGTTTATTCCAAGCTCTCAATGGATATAATCTTTTTATGTCAACTGAAATAAAAGAAACTTTGGGTTATTTTAGAGAGTTAAATGTAAGTTAATGTAGTATATACAATGAAAGTAAAAGAAAGAATAGCACCATAACAGCTTGTTCCAGCTCTACCCCTTTTTGTTCCTTCTTACCCTAGATGTCAGAGCCAAGTGGCCAGCTGTTTCCTCCTTTCCTATGAGGGTTTTCTGTGCTTTCTAGTTGTCCTATCACCTCTGTAAGTCCCAGATATCTTCTCTTTCTCTCTTTAGAATAAAGTCTGTCTTTACTACCTTGACTCTTCTTCATGGTCTCAGAGGGGTGCCTTCTGTATCACCATTTTAACTCAGAAATTCCTCTCAGTGTCCTTGTTTTAATGTGTTGACATTTAAATAACAAGCACTTTTTGTTCATCAGTTTGTTAAATGCACAAAA